TTTAAAGGAAGGTGTACTTTATAGGCTTTCACCAAAGCAGGAAGAAAAATCCCCCATCACTGTTTTGTTGTTGGTCAGTGGCTCAATGACTCTTTGCGACCCTATGGACTGCAGCCCGCCAGGCTTCCCTGTCCTTCACCATCCATCTCCTGAAGCTTGCTCAAACTTTCATCCATTGAATCAGTGATGCCATCCAACCATCTCGTCCTCTGTTGTCCCCTTCTCCTCCTGCTTTTAATCTTTGCCAGAATCAGGGTCTTTTCTAATGAGTTAGCTCTTTGAATCAGATGGCCAAAGTATTGGAGCTTCAGCTTCAGCATCAGTTCTCCCAATTAATATTTAAGATTGATTTCCTCTTTTTTTTCCCCATACAATCAAGCAATTTAAAAATTATTTGTAAAGAGCTTAGTTCTTACTAAGAACTATGGTTGTAGTTATGTTATGTTACCCCCCTTTTTTTCCCCTTGAGAATGCAGAATAGATACTTCTTTCAGCTTTTAGGCATCATTTGAACTGCTGAGTGGGGTGGGATTTTTAGACTCTTAAATTCCTTCACATCATCACACTAATTAGTCCTTTCCCTTCCCTCTTAGACTTGGAAGCATCAGCTTAAGAGAGAAAATTTGCCAACTATTTTCTCCAAATGCTGGTGTGGACAGCTCTGTAGTTAGGATGGAATCTGACTGGGAAACAAGACTAGACATCTCTTGATTTTTCACTGAAGTGCGGATTCAGAACTAGAGTGAGGCGAGGGAGGCACCTGGAATGCAAAATTTAAGGAGGTACTCACTCCCAGATGCTGTGCACTTGCTTGACCTTGAGCATGAATGCCTCCTTAAATTTTGTAGTCTACATGCCTCCCTTGCCTCTTTGGAGTCCCGGCCCTTCTCCTTCGCATTCTAGGAAGTTCCAGGGGCTCTAGAAAAGAAACTAGAGCCGCGAGGCTTTCAGGACACACAGAAGGGCATTTGCCTGCTTTCTAGAAGAACACCAGCTTGATCACAAAGGCTTCCTCACTCCTTCTTTTAGAGCTCTTATGCAAGAGAGTTTTGATTGTCAACAAGTCTCTGGATAAGGGCCCCTGTATACAAAGAGAACTATTTATAAAGCCCAAATGAGGTCAAATCTGTTTAAGTGATTTAGAAACCAAAAATCAGTCCTTATTCATGTCCTGGGCTTTCCCCATATATCTTGCCATTTGATTGCCTTTTGTCTTCGGTGACTTCACTTATTTTTATTTGATTTGCACATTGGCACTTCTACCCAAATAAATTAGCAGGTTTTGGAACCGAAGAGCATCTGCTAAGGACACTGAGGCAAACTGAAAGAAGTCCAGTGGCGGATGTGGGGGGGGGGTGCTCCAAGAGGAAGTTCAGCTCAAGTGATTTTAAAGATCAATGTCAAATTTTATAATATGCAATCCATTTCACTAGGAAAAAGCTTAGAGTCTCCCTGAATAGCATTTACTTTTTTAGTGTAAGGACAGTAGGTGGGTTTTTTTTTGTTATTGTTTTTGGTGTGTGTGTGTCTGTGTGCCTATACACTTTGAAAGGACAAATTTAATCTTGACAATATTTGATATTTTTAATTGAGGCCATTACAGGACAATGAGGCTCTAAATGACTTGTTTCATGTTTAATACAACGATTAGATTTTTTAAATTGCCAGTTCTTTCTCTGCAGTCTTCTATTTGACCTCACTATGTGACATGATTACATCCTTTCCCCCATCTCAGTATGTCTTTTGTTGAAAATAATGCATTTGATTAAACCTGCTTCTGTGTTGAGAAGATGCTAGTCTAGTTATTACAACCTCTCCTGTCTTCTTTTGTCTTTATTTTAATGCAAGTTCAATCCCAAATGCAGTAAATGCTCACTTGTATGATTATGGGTACCTACCGTTTTTGTATGGGTGGGGCTTCAAAGGAGATGGAAAACCTTTCTCATTGTAGAGTCTCTGTTGGAATAATCTTGTTACATAAAATAAAATTCACTTTTAAGTCGAGTTTGGCTTTCGATATTGTCCCTGATTCTGAGTGACTGTCAAGTTGACAAGCCATAGTTAGTTACTTGTTCTGGGAACATAGGGAGTTGCCTTACAGGGAGTGATTATGTTGCCAATTTGTAGGTTTAAGTATATCACACATACATGCATATTTACATACATACATACATACACACATGCATACAATTTGACAAGGAAGTGGTTATGGACCTACCTTGGACTGTTTTAAAAATATACCAGGAAACATCAGAAAAGGCAAAAGACATAGAGAAGACTCTCCTGAGACCATTGCACAAGGACCCCTGCCTGGTGAAGATGAACGATCTCTCAGTTTTCTTTTTAGGAATCTGAGAGCAGCTCCCTTAAGAAAGGTTGCTCACCAGGTTTTTATTGTTTGGTTTCTTCACACAGCTGATTGGCTCCACCCTGCCCCCTTTGAAACAGCAAATTCTCTCCAAGCAGAGAAACCTACCACGCAGTCTCTTAAATAAGTAAATAAACAACATATATATGTTTTGTTTTAAAAAAAAACTTTAAAGCAAAAGTTATACATATATAATAGCGTCCTTTCGAGGTGAAATACCCACGGGAGATTCAGGGGAGGTGCTCAGCGTGCAGTTCGGGTTCTGGAGGCATCTTTGCAACAAAATCCTTGGGAAAAAGCAAGGAGAACGTGGAAGTGGGTCGGGCCTCACCGCGGGCCCCTGTGGCGGTGGCCGGATGGCGCCGGTGGAGCGGGTCAGGCGTAGGGCGGACATGGCAACCAAGCCTGCGGGTCCCTGGCCACCTGATTCGCTGGCTTGCTTGGTCTCTCATCCTTTCTCTCTCTTTCATTTTATTTGTCTCGTGTTTTGTTTTGTTTTTTTTAAACGCCGAATTCTGTTTCTTAGTATAATCGGTGGGCAATTCAGATGTCGCACTCGCTGTCGCTGGAAGTGATGGAGATGGCCGAAGTGGCTGCCTTGCTGGACAGGCTGGCGGCCGGGCTGGCGGCAGCACCCAGCACCTCGGGCGTGCCCTCTTCCTCGGCTCTTAGCGTCCGGCCGGATCCCTGCGACAGGACCTGCTGCTGAAGTCTACCGGGAAGGAAAAGAAACTGGTCACTGCGCAAAACTAGCCCACCCCTTGGTCCACATCCCTTAAGCCCAGCAGTCAGCCCCTCTCCCTCTGACCCGCGCAGTTAAAACTGATAAGAGGAGGCAGGAGAGGCTGGGCAGGAGGCCTTTGGCGACTGCTCTGGGAGCCTTGCGGTCGCTCCATCATCCTTCTTAGTCCTTCCTTGGCTCCCTGTCCCCCACTCTTTGGGATGCTGTGCTCACAAGGTCATTCCCGGCTGTGGGTCACCTTTGTGAAATTTACAATATTGTCAGGATAAATGAGACGTCAGTGGCAAGGACAGATGAGATTCTGGGCCAGGAGACCCCTTTCCCAGCTTGTCTGCCTTGGGTGCACCTCTGTGCCGGTACCCAAGTGGGGCCAAGTCTGCCCCAAACGAGAAGCAAAAAGGGCAGCCTGATGGTTCCCAGGAGGGTTTGGGCCTGGGAGAAGAGGTTGGGTTCTTGGCCAAACTATTTGCGATCCACACACTGGGGAATGAAAAACCTCTGCCAAGTAGTTTGCTGTTTGAGACAGGGCTGCCCACCCTTAGAAAGAGCAGAACTCGACTTTCCACTTCTTAAAACATGTTAGAAATTTCAAAGCATTAGGGAAGGATGCCTTTGGACTTTAAAATGACAACACTAAACTGCCTCATTGCTAACAAGCCAGGCTTCACCTAATAAATAATAGGAGCTTGGGCCCAGTCTGACAAGAATTAACCTTGGGCCTTGCGGTCTCTAGTTGTTTCTGGGGTTTTAATTTTTATTTCTTTCTCCCTCTCATTGTAGCCTTGGTATGGTGACTGGAACCAGCTGCAGGAGCGACCCCCAGGCGGCGAAAACCAGACAGAAAGGGTGGGGAATCCAGAGCCCGGGAGGAAACCCCCACCCAGGAGCCCAGAACGCAGTGAGCTCACACCGCAGACCTCCAACCCATCCCAATTCCTGCGGAATCCAAGTCTCCAGGCCTTCGGCAAGGGCGCCGGGGGTGCGGTCACCGGCTCCCTCCCGGTGAGTTCAAGGCTCGGAGGTCTAGAGGTACCGACCTGTTTTTGGCTGCAGCTGCCCGATCCCTTTGCCGGCGGTTTTTGAACCAGTTGCCCACCTGCGTAGGGGTCAGTCCGGTTGCCTGGGCGAGCTCACGCTTTTTGCTTGGGTTGGGGTAGGGGTCCTGCAGGTACCATTCCCGCAGCAGGTGCCGCGTGCGCTCCTTGAAGCAGTGTGTCTTCTGTTCGCCGTCCCAGATGGTGCGCGGCAGCGGGAACTTCTTCCTCACTCGGTACTTATCCACCGGCCCCAAGGGCCGTCCACGCAGCTTCTCAGCCTCCTGGTAATGCGCTTCGAGCCACAGCGCCTGCAGTTTGGCATGCGACTCCTTGGTGAACTTGTGGTTTTCCAGGATATGGTAGAGCTCGCGGTAGTTGCCACCGTGAAAGGCCACGATGGCTCGCGCGCGTAGCACGGATTCATTCTTGTTGAGCGCCTCGCAGGCCGCAGGGGCCACAGGCAGCGACCAGAGGAAGCGACCCAGGCGCTCCACGTCGCCGCTCTCCTCTAGAGTCTCGCATACCCCGGCCACTTGCTGGGGACTGAAATTCAAGATAGGCAGCTGGAACATCGAGGCAGCGCCGGCGACAGCGGAGGCGCTGAGTCCGGAGCGGGACACGCAGCAGATGCCCGCGGGCCCGGCCGGGTGCGCCAGGCTCTCCTTGGTGAAAGCGGCTTGGGGCAACCGGGATGCACCGCCAGGGCAGCGGCGCAACCGCGGGGAGCAAGCGAGCGGGAGGGATTGGAGGAGGTGCCGACTCCGCAGCTCGGGTTCGGCTCGGCTCCGTTAGGGCACGCAGGCCACCTAGCCGGCGCCGCTACTGGGGTGGGCGGATTGGCGGCGCGGGCGCCATGGAGACCCCCTGTCAGTCACTGGCCGGCTCTGCCAATCAAGACTGCGACCGGAGCGCCCAGGCCATTTCAGCACCTCCCCGCTCTCGACAGCGCCCGCTGTTCTCCGGCGGACTTCGCAGTATTTTGCAGAACTTGGAGGAGGGAAAGACGTGCCAGTGGATGGGAGAGAAAGCGCGAGCCGAGCCGCAGCCTTTCGCTACCACCCCTAGCCCTGTTCCTCCCTCTTCCCCGCAACCCCCCATCCCCACCCCCCGCAAGAGGCGGTGATGTTGCAGAAATCCACTTTGGGGCGAGGCGCTGCCTGGGTCAAGAGGCCTCCAGAGGACAAAGAGGACTGGGCCAAAACGAAATGCTCTGAGAGAACTCACTAAATTTAGTTGGAACGAAACAGAAAACCTTGAAGGGGAACACGAAAGGGGAGGGTGGGGAAGTGGATCATTCCCTTTTCTTCCCTGCACCCATCTCGGCATGCCTTTCCAGCTGCCAAAGCAGCCGAGTGGGAACCGAATCTGAAGCAGAACGAACCGACCCGGGGCCTGTAGAAGAGGTCAGTTTGGACTCAAAACCCATCACCTTCAAAAGCCTCCTAAAATCATTTAAAATCCGAGCTAGGACCCTCTCACTTCTGATAACCCAGGCGCTGACCATGAAGTGAAGCACTCGCAACAAAAGGGGCGCTGCACACCCCAAGTTTATACTTTTCAGTTTTTCTCCCCAGTTTAATGGACTTGAACAAACGTGCAGCATAGCCACATCTAGAGTGAGAAGTCACTGGTAGGTCAGGACAGCAACTTAAAAGCTTATTTCAAAGACCTTTTTAAAAAGTATTGATTTGCTCTTCTTGCAGGCTAATTTTGCCATACCCTCTGTTAGAATATTTAACTCTTGAGCTGGTCATAGAAAATCTAACCTTGGCCTTTGGGCCCAACAGTAATTCAGTAGAAGTAAAATAGAGAAGAGGGAACCACACTAATAGAGAAGGGGTTGCAGAAAGTGCTTCTGAAGCCGCTGGGCACTGATCCCTCCTCAAGAGAGGAAGGGCCTTCTTGGCTGCTCTGCCTTGGGGCCAGCAGTTGAATTGATAACTTTATTGATTCCCAGTTGACATCTTCATCATACCGTTTTCTGAGAAGTAGGTCAAAAGTAACTACCATCTCACCTGGCTTTTAATAGGGGTTTGTTTAGTTTGAAGAAAATAATTGGGAGAGGGGGATCCGGCGAAAACGCCAGGAAAAACCATCTTTGGAGGTCCATCCCCAGGAAGGAATCAGATGGGAATGTTCACTGCCGAACTGGACTGGGCCCGGCTGTCTTTTCTTTAGTATCAAGTACAATTTGTATGCGGCTTGTACGGCTTTGGTAAATCAGAAGGCAGATAGATAGCACAGATGGTTGGAGGTGTCGGGTCAGATCATGCTACGCCTGAGTGCAGGGCAAAGCTCATTCTGACGGAAAACCCTGATATTATTTTCACAGATCTTCACAGTTCACTCAAAAAAAAAAAAAAAAAAAGCAAAGGGGAAGAAAAAAAAGCCCTGCAACCATTTACATCATTTCTGTGAGATTGCCAGCCGCCTCACTGGAGAGACTTTCTTTTCTAAGAGTTTATTTTCATGGAATCCGACAGGGCAGGGGCAAAATAGAGAGGGTGATGGGGATAATGTCAAAGCACAAATCTTCTCTAGCTTGAGGAGACTTCCGAATCCGCCGCAAGGACAGCTTTTAGTGAGAAACACTGTAAACAAGGGCCAACAGTGCGCAGTGTAGAAAACCCGGCAGGCGGGGAAGGGGTGAAGCGGAACCCCAGGAGGGCTATTTCTCGGCACTCCAGGACTGGAAAGAAAAGCACTGCCTCGCTCCGGTTTGCAGAGGTTTCCTAATTTTCGCTCTCGGGGTCTCTCCCCTCTGGGCTCTCCTTAGCCGATCGCCTGTAGATCGCCTTCCGCGTGCAGAAGAAGCAGAAGGTGCCCGGGACCTTACAGCTCTGGGGCCCCGAGGGGAGCCCCAACCTCCGTACCTCGCCGCTGAAGGCGAGCAGAAGTTGTGGGTGCCCCAGGGGACCGCGCCTCTGCACGCATTTTTGCTGCATAGTTTGAAAGTGGTGAATTCCGCTTCTTACCCTAAGTCTTTGTGAGCAAGTCTTGTAATTTTCGGAGCCTGGGTGCCCTATCGAGAAAATGGAAACGTTTATTTTCAGATGTCCCCTCTGGCTTCTGAGCGTCTGGGGCTCTCGAGCGAATGGGACCGAAAGCCTAGGTTGGCCACGGTGGAGGGTCGGGAAAAGGGCGCTGGCTGCAGCCGCGGAGTCCGAACCCCGCCTGACGCGGCGTCTGGGGCCGGGGCGCGAGAGTTCTCAGAAGTGTCTGGAAGTCCGGGTCTACGGTCTGGAGGTCCTATCTTCACCATCGCAGGGGACTTCGCTTAATTTTATTAACTCAAGGGAAATAAACTTCTTTAGGGCACTCTGCGATCGCGTATTCGTGCATCAGCTTCATTCTGGGAAGGGACAAACGGAAGGAATTTGTGAGCCCTCATCCCTGAAAATGAGAGAAGCTGCAAGGATTCCCTTAGAAATAACTCCGCTGTGAGGAGGATGACCCCACTCCACGATTGAAGCGCACTTTTCCGGGTTTTCTAGGTGAAGACTGAATCTTTTCTTAATTTTGCGGAGGGAAAGAGTTTGACCAGTTTTGGAACTTAGCGCCAACCTTGCAGGCAACTCACTGCCCATTTTTATTATGTGCTTGACCGGGAAACTTAGAAGACGAAGCAGCAGCCTTTGGGCCCATCTGGGCAGGTTTGCAACTTTCAGTAGTTGGTTTGCAGCTAGTAGTAGATTTGAGAGGCCTTGGATTCTCGCCGGAAATCCCTAGATGGCTATTCTTTCTGCAAACTCAAGACTCACTTTATAGAGAAAATTTTGGAAAAAACGTGTAGAAGACAATGCCCTGCTCCCACCTCCAGGGAAAATTCTGTGTCTAATTGTTCAATGCCAAGGCAACAGGGCAAAGTGCCTCCAGGGAGCTGTGAGGTTCATACCAGAAATCTCCAGAATTCAGTCTGGGTCTCTCCTTGTTGTGCCCCTTCTATGATTTTGCTCTCTAGAGTAGAGGGACACTTGGAGCCCAGGTTACACTCTGCTGAAAGATTTACCAGTGGAGACCAGTGTGTAGAGATCAATACATTCTTATGTCTAGTTTCTAATCTCTTGTCTTGTTTTGTCTTTCTTATTTTTGACCTTTCGTAAATCAAGTTGTAAAATAAATGATGTCTTTGTTTTCCTTCCTGTACAATTCACATAGTCAGGGATTTTACAGATATAGTAACTGAATGCTTCTGAGTTCCTTGATAAAGACTTTTGTGCTGCATGTGAGAATCACAGACTGACTGACAATGAGGTCCCAGCCTTTTGTGTGTGTCCTTTTTGACTTTGGGGGGAGAGGTCTTTGTTTCCCTTTCCTGGGCCTCAAAGCCTTGTGTTGCAGATAGGTGAGAATAATGTTAAAAAAAAAATCTAAGATTAAAAAGCAGTTTACTGTCTTTGAAGTTACAGTATTAAAATTTCATACTCATCTATTCATGCACTTAGTATTCTGATTTTCAGATACCATATACATAAATATAAATATATGTTTGTTTATGTATTTGGTGGTCCAGATCTCCAGATTATGAAATTAATTTAGTATCCTAGTTCTAAAGTACCAACTATCCTAATAAGCTCCCAAGATAGATTGCTATCTTTCATGTATTCCTGTCCTTCCAGTTTGCACCTTGTAACAAAGAACAGAGATGCCTCTTTATTGTGTATTCCTAAGAAAAAACACAATTTGAGAAATGTTTTCTAGATTTCCCGGTGCTGTAAAATTAACTGGCAAAAAAGTATTACAATAAAAGATGTTGATCTAATTTTAAGAAATTGGGATTTTTTGTTATTATTTGCATAATTATTCACCATATATTTTTTTAAATGATGCAAAATTTCTTGTGTTGTTAAGTGAAGGAAATATATACAAGTTTAAATGTGGGAAAATGCACCATTTAAAGGTATTGATTAATTATCAGTAATGGTTTTTTAAAATGTTAAGCTGACAATGCAACTCTGTGTTGACCTCCAGTTTGTGGTTGCTCCTAGGTGTTTGGATGATAATTTGCATCTAAGCCAGAGAGTATATTACAAGTTATACCACTTATTTAAGCTATGGTTTTAGATTCACTTTTCTCATATTTATGCTTCTGTGAGGGTAAGTCTAAATCTTGGGGTTAACCACACCACAGCATAGCTTACTTAGGGCTTTGTATCAGTGGGTTCTTATGTGAAGGACTGATTCTTAAAAATGTAACTAGCGTGTCATTTATAAACACTTTATTAACAGTAATGAAACATTAGTTGAATGAATGAAATAATAATTAATTTGTAATTCTCTACTAGAGCTTTCTATTTTATTTTATTTTTTACCAGCAGGTTATTTTTGGCCATTTTCGAATCTAAGATCAAAGTATCTTTCTAAAATACACGTAGACACTTTATAATTCAATGAAGTAAAAGAGTGTAAATCAGTCTATGTCTTCTGGCATGAGTCAAACATTATTCACATTAAATTGTGTGTATTATATGTCATGTATATGTATTAATTACATGTATTATATGTGTAAGAAATAATAATTTCCTTCCAATCAGTGTAAAATCAAATAGGAGCATTAGCCTGCAATAAATACTTTGAATTCTCTGAGTTAATCCAGTTCATTAGTGGAAAATACTTTGAAAGAATTACATTAAAAATATAATTTTTATGGCATATAACATTGCATATCTTGCTACCCTCCAATGTAGCAAATCTCAGGAGGGCAATTATACTCCCTCCTTCCAGGGGACATTTGGCAATGTCTGAAGACATTTTTAGTTGTCACAAGTGTAATCTAATGTGTGGAGGCCAGAGATATTGCTAAACATCTTACAATAAATAGCATGGCCTTCTCCCACCAACAAAAAAATAGCATCACTGTTAAGAAACCCTGCTTCAAAGGAACTCAAAATAATCAACTAGGCACTGACAAACAAAACCTGCTAAAATTCTGTTTATTCTGGAGTTGAAGCACTTTTAAAGGTGTTAGTGCCCTTTTTACTTCACCTTAAGTCTAGGCCATACTGATAAAATCTATTCCTAAAGACTTACTGTAATTTTGTTTCTTTTAAACATTTATAATAAGTGGTACTTATGGTGACTGAATACTTATAAATTTAGAAATATTTCTGGAGAAAGTGGGGTTTTGTTTCTATCATGTTGAAATCTGTGTTCTTTTAGTAACGGGTGGGACAGACAGCAATGATTGAAGTTATTGCTCAGTCCCTCTGCATTTTACAAGTGAATAAATTGTGAAGACCAAAGAGTTTAAATGATTACTTTCATTATACAGCTAGACAGTGACAGAGGTGTGTTTAAAACACAGATTTAATCCTCTATTTATCATGTACTTTGCTCTCCCTACCGAAGGAAGGTGGTCTAATTCCTGTTGAGTTTGAGGATGAGGACCTGAATCACATGAATATTTATTGGTGGCTGCTATGTGTATAGTCCTATGCTATTTCCTGGTGCTGTGACTTTCAAAGTTTGATGTACTCTAGTTCATGGATCTCAGAGAGATTGAAACAATTCTGGGTCTTGTCAAGTAGTGTACCCTTGCAAACCCTAAAAAGGCCTTGAATCTCAAATGTGATTCTGGAATTTCAATTATCTTCCTTGTGGGACAGGAATGTTGGAGTCTGGATTTATTGAAGACCTTTCTCTGAGTCATCACACTGTATACTAGCAGGAAAATGGAACTGAATCCTGCCTCTTGGGGAGTAGAGATTGGACTTGAGGTGCTGTAAGGCTTGGTTTAAGTAAAAAAAAAAAAAAACAAACCTCCAAACTCTTTTGTCAGGTCTTTCAAAAGAATAACAGTGATGCTCACTAGCATTTCTATAATTAACAAGCTGCCAACATTTCTATTACGACCACAGAAGTCTATTACAGACCACAGAATTGTGATAAATGTTTCTTTAGGTCTGAAATGTTAGCCTTCATCTTCTTTTCAGCCTAAGGCAATTTTTGAAACCAATTTTGTTTCAATCATTTTGGATCAGTTGTGTGGTAATTTTGGAAGTGCAGATGCTCTAGGCCCACCTATTGAAATAAAGATTTTTAAATGGAAACACAGAGAGGAGTCTGCTTAAGCCCCAGTGGGGACCAGCTGCAAAGCTCTGGCAGGGAATTATATAGGCAGATAGTGAGAGTAGATTTGGAAAAAATTAAGAGACAGAGAAATGTGTGCATATGTCCTTTAACAGTAGATTTAGTTCCTTCAAATTATGGAATTTTAATCTTCTCTTTTTTCTGTTTTGTAGTTTATCGGTTTTTACTTTCCCTATTATTCCTAGGTTTTGGTGAAATTAATGCAAGAGACTCTGTCTTTACAGCAATTAAAATGTGAGGCTGAACTGATTTTTTTGAATTTTAATATTTAATTTTAATCTTCATTTAGTTAAATTTTCTTTCTACCCCTCTCATCTCCTTTCTGCTTGACCATCTTTTTGTCCTTGTCTATCCTCTTATGGACTCAGAAGGTTCATATTTCCCAATGATTATCCTTCTCTGTACTTAATAATTCATGTTTATTTTCTCTTTTTCTGTTTTTTCTGACTCCATAACTCCTTCTTTCTGCTCCCCAAGTTTCCATTGCCAAATACCTTTTCACTAAACTAAGCCTTGTTAAATTGTGAGGTTGACAAAGACAGTGTTCATTTCTGAAAGTTGATGAGGGATAGGAGTGGTTTTCTAAGAGAAAAGGGGCATAGTGTTAGTATAATGATGTTTTAGGGAACTGATGCTTCTTAAGCTAAACTTTATGAAAGATAAAATGGTAGAAACAACAAGGACTCTTGAAAATTTAAATCACTGAACTAACCACATGGTTTTAGGCCTCAGTTTCCTTATTGGATAAACTGTATAATACTTATCATATAGAATAGTTGCAGGGATTAAATAAGATATGAATTCCTTGCATAGTGCTTGGCTCATAGTAAATCTCCAACATGTTTCCCACTTGTGGAAAACCATTCATTTAGTCTATTAGTTTGACCCTCTATATTGGTGATGTCTTTCCATCTTGTCTTTGGTCTCTGCTTTGGTCATCCTTTGGTGTTCTGCTTAGGTCTCTTGAAACTTTCCAAAGGATAGATTCCTTTGAAATATACCTTCCTGTTCTGTAGACCACTCACTGTTTCTTGCAGTAAATTAGTCTAAAGAAGTCAATAGATAGCTTACATGAAATTGCCCTGATATTAACCTTAATAGTTTCCTGTGGATGCCATAACAAGTTACCACAAACTGGGTGGCTTAAAACAATAGAACTTTATTCTCTCACAGCTCTGGAGGCCACAAGTCT